GAAGTGCTTCGTGAACAGCAGCCACGCAGGAGAAGTGAAGTTGACCTAAGTCAAATCAAATTCAATGCCGTTTCGTTCGCTCCTTCCTTGCGCACTACCCTGCTGTTGGTTCTTTGGTCCAACATTGGGGACGATACGTGACACTGCTCCTGTAATTGGGATCATACTCAGATTATGCTGTTCAACCAGACGAGGAGTGGGTGGGCGTGGAACCGCTGACCTTGCACCGATCGAGCGAGAAAGCACGAGAGAGCGAGAGAGCGAGAGAGCGAGAGAGCGAGAGAGCGAGAGAGCGAGAGAGCGAGAGTCTGAGCGCGAGCGAGCGAGCGGGGAAGAGAGAGGGGAGAGAGAGCGAGAGGGAGAGCGAGAGAGAGAAAGAGAGCGGGAGAGAGAGAGAAGGAACAGACGGAGAGAGAGAGAGAGGGAAAGATGGAATGATGAAGAAAGAGACAGGGAGGGAGAGAGAGAGAGAGAGGGGGAGGAAAAGAGGGAGAGAGAGACAGAGAGGAAACCTTCTGGACATCACCAGTTGGGTCGAGATCTCGCTGTGTGGCATGACAGCAAAGCCCGCTGCATTCCTCATCTCCACCGAGAAATTGTGCTGCTCGCCGAAGGTCTGACAAAGAGCAAGACTGTCAGACTGTGCGGAAACTCCAACGACCCAGAGTATATTGGAGCACGGAGAAGTGTGAGACTCTTGGATGGAGAGTCGAACACACAGACTGTTGGGCGCATTGCGAGGAACTAGGATGCCGGACCGTGTCGAAGTGCATCGTCCCACGGCTGAGAAGCTTTGTTTCAAGGCCTGGTGTCTCACAAAAGCACTGCTGCGTCATCGGCGTCATCTACCACCGTTTTGTAGCATTTTGCAATTCATTCCGATCGTTCTCAAGGATGGTAAGCTCCCTAGCCGACTCGCATAGTGCCCTTCAGCTTCCCGATGTGGAAGATCTTGGGGGCCGTGCACAGAACAGAAAACAAACCGGATCTCTCAGAAAATCGGACCTTCATGTTGATGCTCCATCCTGGGGTCACAGTGACCGGCGTTCCACCTCCGTTGCTCCAAGCATAACAAGCCAAAGCTTTCAGCAAACTCCCAGTGCAAAGCAGGGCACCTATGTGAAAGGTGAACGGCCGCATGAACATCGCTGTGTCCGTCCTTACTAAACTCTCTACGAGACTGTCTTGCCGGCTTGTGCCATGCGCCACCCTGTGGATACCACTAGGGCTCACTGGGGCCGATGACTTGAGCTTGCTAAGGATTGGAATTGGAAAAACATCCAGCATGTTGTGCAACACCGAGGAAGACCTGGCAAGAAGATGGCACTGCAGGAAACCGATCTGCATGTCCTCCTCGCCTGTCTTTGTCAAAATCAGCGGCTGTCCCGATGTCCAAGTCTAGATCTGCCAAGCCTCAGAGAAATTCAAATGTCGACACGTAGACTGCAGTGCATGCTGGGTGGTCTGACTCTGGACGAGAAAGTCCACCGTCTCGTGTGGCCTCTGCAAGTATCAAGGCAATGCAACAGCAATCTGCAAGTGCCCAAAGTGATGTTAGGGTGCTGACGCTTGCGTTATGTCTGGCATGTGGCTGCTGAGGTTCATCGTAAACCCCAGCCAGGCATGCACCTTGGGCTTGAAGAGCCTCCAAAGCCAGATGGCTCGTGATGGCTCTTGATCGCTGTTGCACGTGTGCCTGAACCACGCCGTTCCACCCGGAAAAGTGTATTTGTACTGCGGATTTTCGGTGCTGTCAGCCTGGGATTCGCCAGGGAAGGGCTGGGACCCAACACAACAAAGGCACAGAAGGACCTGCCTCGTATGTCCAGTTCCAGTGAAACCGGTCTTTCTCAGTGGGGTTGTTCAGGTTGAAGAAGGTGTTGTCCTGCGAATCTCTTAATGGGTTGAGGGGGGGTGAGAATCAACAACTAAGGCACACCTAGATGCTGCCTGCTGGTCGTTCGCCTTGTCAGGTGTGAAGCCTGCCTTCATGTGCAAGTCACCACCTCGTTTGCATCGCCACATTGAGCCACATCCATGCACTGCAACAGCACGGCCAAGGCAGCCAGCGCAGGTCATCCACATCTCCGATTCCATTCCAAGTTCATCTCTACAGAAGGAGATGCATCCTTGTATTCGTCTCCTGAATCCTTGTGCAAGGTATACACCCCCTTGGACAAACAGGAGGCAGCAGTCAGCAGCAATAATTACACAGCGAACCTTCCTGGTAATGAAAAGACTGAAGTACATGCTGACTGGGTCACGCCAGCCTAGAAGCAAAGAGTGAAAAGCCATCCACTCTCACGCACCAACACACAATAGAACACACAAAGATGCAAAAGCGGTGACAGTTCTGCACTTTTTGAGAAGAGCGCAAATATAGGACTGGTGGGAGCAGTTTGGGCCCCCACTTCAACGTTGTGCGACAACCCTATGACCATATGCACTGAGGCGGAGCACGGCCGTGAATTTGTCATGATGGTACGGGACTGACAGGTGGAAGACCGCAAAAATTTCGAAGACCGCAAAAATGTTAAATCAGATTAAGACACGTCTCCTCTAGAATGAATGCAAGAAGCGAATCCCTCCAAGAGCCCGTGAGGCAGGAAAGTGCTCCCCTGTCATGCTTTCTCGTTCCAAAATAACACACGTCAGAGGAGAAAGCGTGATTGAGGCGAAATCGCGCGCGATCTGTCGCAGAGAACGATCCGCATACGTGCCACGTCAGCTGCAACACAAACCAGGCCCTCCATGTACACTCAGCGTGTCTGAATACAAAATGTGTAGAGTGATGCGACAACCTGCATCAATCACAAATGTGCCCTCGCCGAGAATACGGCCATGAACCTCGCCCAAGCTGTTGACACCATCTCGCAAAAAGTCCATAAACGACTCGGACAGACCTAGAGCCAAGCAATTCTTGAAGACAGGTACTTTGCGAAAAGATTGGATTGCAACATACCCCGAGATGGCCACGACGATTCTTCGACCGCGCCCTGGACAAATACCAAGAGGAACATCATGCAGAACAAAGCCTTTGAGCCAGCAGTGCGGCCTCAACTCATGCTGCAGAACCTGTGGGTCCTTAGCCCTCGCGGGCATGACATGAATGTAGAACCTCACGTCATCAGTGACTGCACCATCCCTCTGCACGGAACTTTCTAAAGGCACTAGTGTGCCTGCATGACCGAAATACTTCTTGAGCTGTCGCCAGCTCCTCCACGCACGAAGTTAGCAAGAACACAAGTATGCAGCACGGGCATCTGGCAATCCTTTGTGTGCAGATCCACAAGTGCGGAACTTGTCTCCAGCTTAGCGACCTGCAGGGCCGCCACTCCACCCGGAAGAGCTTACACCCCTACTACCTGCCTTGCGGATCCGTTGAATTCGGTGATATAGGTTTTTTTCTGCCAGATGCTTGCCTGATTAGACTCGCCGGGTCATGCAACACAAATGGTTGTGTGAGCAATTAGTGTCCGGCAGGGATGCAGCATGTGTGAAGCAGTGACATGCTCCAGCTTGGCCATTCGGTGCAAGATGTCCTGTGGCACCTGGCGCAAGACGTTTCTGTAGGCAAAGTATCTGACAGCTTCAACTTGTTCTGGGTGCCTGAAGCACAAGGTGGTCGTGGCTACACTCGACTATTCTAACTCCTCTTTGGTGCTCGAGGTCCAGCTCCTGGCAGCAGCCAATCTCACATGGACCACAAAATCTCAGCCCGCCCCCCCAAGCTCCATCAGAGCATCAGGATCTGTGTCCACATCCCAATGGATCGAGAGGTCACTGCCATCCTGGCGAGTGGCCGGAGACTGTAACTGCAAAGCCCCTTCTCTTCTCTTTCTTCTCATCTCTAGCAAACCCTTTTCATTGCACACCTTGCTTGTACTTGCTTGAAAACGTTCTCAAAAAATAGCAACTAGCTTGGGCAGTGTATGCCGCGAAAATGAACTTTAGCTTCTCTCGAAACTTTCCAGACAAAACTCCCAAACCTGATCAGAAGGTTCGGACTCGATGTTGCCCAAGAAATATTCATTAAATGTGTCCAGGACAGCAGATCCTGCCACATCTTTGAGTTCAGTCATGTCTACGCTGCATACTAAACTCTGTAGAAGAATCCCTCCGATCTCTCTGCAACATGGTTGGCGGAGAACATGACTTGGCGTTAGCACCAACAGGTCCATCAAGTAACCCAACGGTAAGCCAACTACCCTGCCAGCGTCAAGGCACGAGGAGATTTCAGGAAGGCTACAAGATGACAGCAAGATGACAGCAAGATGACAGTGGAGCACATCCTGGACAATCTCGCACCTCGAACCTGTGGTCCTGACGATGTCGAAAGTGCCTGATTTATCTCTTTGAGCAGATCATGAGACAACACCCTGTGCAAGCAACGGAAGAAGCATGCCTGATGTTGGGAGGATGATCACCCTCGACGCTTCCACCTTCGAAGATTCCTGGCAGTTCAGCACACTATACTACAAAGCGAGAACATGCAACACCCAATCCGGGACTTGGACGGAATGGTTGAGGATAGAACACAGCATTGACTGGGACCTTGCAGAAGGATGCACACCAAAATGCTTCAAATCTAGTCCGGCACTCTCTACTGACAGGTTTGCTCCAGGGTGGCATGCGTCTGGGCCACTAGGTTCCGCACACTCAGTCCTATTAAAAGCCGTGCAGCCTTCACACCAGCTTTTGATAGCATTAAAACCGACAGACATGACACGTTGCAGTGAGCGGTGACTGCCTGCATGGCCGCAAGGAGCAGCCTTCAAAACTCTCAACGTTCATTTCCACATGTTGTGATCTTTTCGGTCTGGACTCCAGGTATGAGTCCCTGCCTGGCAGCGCCAATGGCTGCACGGCCGCTAAGCGTCAAGAAAGCTTGAGCCAGTGCAAACGTGGAACATGCAGTTGAACTCCGAATCTGCCAGTGGCCCGAAGCCCTAAGGAAAACGCAGTCCCGCAAATTGGCAAAGCAGATGATACAGATGCACCTCTCTAATCATCACCTGCGCCAGCGCCACTGCCTTGGCTCTAGCATCAAGGTGTCAACTGTCGAGAGGCCTTGCCAATCCTTCCCACCACCACTCTGAAGACTTCGCAGACTCCGAAGTCTGGGGATGCGAGCATCTGCTGACCCCGTCATGCGCACGATGCATGGATCTCGTCCCTGCAGAGCGTCTACAGATGTCCACAGCCAACTGCTTCTGTCACAGGATGCGCCAGGCAAACAACAGTGCCGCGATACAGTCCTGCTTCTCAGCTAGGTCCTAAAGTACTGAAGGTCCCAAGTGCGCTGCAATCCCTACGCGCCTTGTCTAGATCTATCTTCGCGCCGCTTCTCTCCTGCGGAAATGTTGGAACAAGCTGCATCGCATTTCTATGCACATTGCACCGTGCATCACCGTCCTGAATTTCATTTATTTGTCGGCCACCAGGACCAATCAATCGGCCAGTGACACTTGGAGGAATCTGGCACCACGAAACAACGAAGAAGGCGTGCAAAGCGTGCAAAGTGCTATACAAAACTAAACAACGTAAACAATGCCTCCATGGTGGCTGCAGCTTCTGCCAATTGGGTCCTGTCACGGCCTGCAGAGCTCTCTGCAGCTCACACACCACAGCCGCTACACCCCACCCACACATGTCACAATCGCCTTCTAAGACTTCAGTCACCAGAGTCTTGGCCAGTTGTACGTTGTCGGGAAAACCGCCGAAACGTACCTGTTGACAAGTTCGGAGAGTCTCGATCGAAGGGCATACACTGCAAGAAGGTTGGAGACATGCAAGTTCAGTGCAAGGCCGAACAGTCAGAAGAATTGCCACTGGTCTGAGCTCTGGTGCAAGGCAGCGGTCTGGCTGCCGATCGATGTCAATCTTGGCGCCGCTGCGCTCCTGAAGTTCCTGATCACACCGAAGCTGAGCCAAGCTGAGCCTTGCTGAGCCACATTGCCCGAAACCAAACTTCTTCATCCGTCCCTGTCTACGATGCATCCCTCAACTGTTTTTCAGGCTTTCCCGAGACGCCGGCCTGTATCCGCGCACCTCCTGCGCCGATGATGCGCCCCACGGCGCTCCGGGGAATCTCCAGGTAATCCCCGCTACCTTCTGTTTAAGATGCGAAGAAATTCAGCTGAAGCATCTCTAGACTCTCAGGCACCTGAATCTGATGGCGGAGTCATGATGGCATTGATCATGGCTTTCGCCACATCCACCTCTGAAGGCTGCAAGACAGCAAGAATCAGCAAGAGCAGCAGGGACTGAATGTCGAACCCGCCTGGCTTTGGGTTCCCACAAAACGCACCCTGCAGCCTGTGGGAGACTTGTCCACATCCACCTCGAACACTGGAAAGAAGGGTGCTCCCCTTTGCAGATCTTTGCAGAGTCTGCTGCCTGTGCGCCGCTCTTTTGCCGAATTTCGGCTATTTGCTGCCCCTTGGTTCCGATGACCTGCAAGAAGACCCGACCGATCCAACATGACCTGAAGAGAAGGCATGTAAAATCATGTAAAGCAAGCTACGCCAATGCAAACCTAAAATGAGAGACCTTGTGAGCTCGGAAGTCCAAAAGGTAAGACGGCTTCGCATTTCCCGAACCGCATACAACAGCCATGACCGTTGCGCATGTCGCGAGCCCAGACGTCCCACAGCGATGACAGTTTCGAGGACGGCGAGGGCGGCCATTCGTCCAACAAGCGACACTTCGAGAACAACCCACATTGCGCAGCAGGCGCGCCGCCCCCGCGCGCGCGCAACATCTACCTAGCCCCACTTGCATTTCACACACCCCTTCACGTTGGAACCCCTTCGTGTTGACGTGCTTTTTTGTGTGGCAAGAGTGACCTGAAGACATGAATAAACGAACTGGGCCGAATGAATGCGAACCGCGCCTTGCCAGTGGCATGTCGCGGGAGCTCGATGTGCTCTTCAACAGCTGGCCTCCGGAGACTTGCCCAAATACATCTCCGATGACTATGAGCTCCCATCACCCTTTGAAGGACCAAGCAGCAAGGAGGCAGCAAGGAGTCAGAAGATGACGCTCCCGAGTCGCTCACGAGGATGGATCCGAAGCTGCTGACGCTGCTCGTGCTGACACGGCCTGAATTTTGGGGAAGCTTCACGCCTTCGGTTTCAGAAGGGCAGAACACAGGGGCGTCCATCAGAAAATGACACGTCTTCTCTCAGATGCACGGAAGCGCCAGGAACCCCCCGGCACATGTGTGTGTGTGTGTGTGTGTGTGTGTGTGTATAAGCTGTGTAGCTCTGGTGGGACGCGCCACTACGGTGGCCCTACTGTCCGCACAGACAGACAGACAGACAGACAGACAGTGTAGCTCTGCATACACATCTCGGGTCATCGCGGCAGCAGCTGCTGCGGCAGCAGCAGCAGCGGCTGAGCATGAGCGGATTGACAATTAAAGTTGAACCTACATATACCAACATCACACAAAGTCGGAGTCGGCTAGTCCGCCTTCTCTTCCAACCTCGCGGGAATCACCTGAGGCGACACAGGCATGGGCACAAATGAAGCTCATCACACAAAACTTGAACCGAACTTACAGCTGTGCGGCGGCCTTCGCCGGGACACGACAAAACAATGCAACGAAGGCTCACACAGATCCCCTGTTGGGCTCGATTTTGGGACACTGTTTGGGCTCGCCTGGAAACCTGTAGAGCAATGTATCATCTGCTGCATGATGCTGTCAAGCACTATCCGCGCCAGCACAAGCCGGACGGAGCGAGGAGCTTGCGACACAGCACAGAAATGGTGAGCATGTCAAAGTACTACACATGGGTTTGGCAGCGATACTCGAAAGTGACTGGTCTTGCATAACGTGGTACAGGATGTACGGGTGATACAGGCAAGTTGTACAAGCTTCAAAACTCCTACGGCTCATTACAAGTCCAGATATGTGTGCCTGCTAAGAGCGCGCCGTCGGCAACCTCCAAAATCAACGCCTGCACCAAGCCATCTGAAAGAGTCTGAAAAAGCGTTACCATTATTGCCATTCGAGACAAAGGTGAATTGCAAGTAAACGAACAACGAACACCATGGTCGATCGCCACAAACGAAATGTCTTTTAACATCATACCAGTGCTCGAAAGATGTCCAATTCAAGCTGCCACATTACACACCGGGGTGAGGGTCGAGTCAGAAAACGAGTCGAAAACGTCAAAGACAGAGTCAGAAACAAGGAAAACCGAGTCAGAAAACGAAAACGCGTGAGCCCAGAAAACTGAGGAGACGCGAGTCAGAAAACAAGACAGTGAGTTAGAAACGGCCCCAATCACACAAAGGTTAACTTCTACAACGAAACGTAATGTTTGCTAAGTAGCCGTCAGTCTCTTCCAGGATAGGTACCTACTTTGTACCCCTACCCCACCCGTCTATCCTCAAGGGATAGACCCCTATCTAGATGGTCTACCGGAAACCGATAGGTGCCTACACACACGCACTCCCATAGGTCGGATGTTGTCCGATAGACCCCCATCGTTGTAAGATAAGTCGTTATGCACGTGAAACGTCTCGAGGGTCCGCACAAGCTTGCTTCAACGATAGATGAGTTTTTGAAACACTTATCATGCAAGCATGGTGTTTGCAAAGGGGGGGCGAGGGGGCGGCGGGGGGGGGAGGGGGGGAGGGGGGAGGGGCGGGGAGGGGGTGGAGGGGGGAGGGGGTGGAGGGGGGAGGGGGGGGAGCCCCCTCCAAACCCCCCGCTTTGCTTACGCCGTGCAAGCTTCCTTCAAAAGCATGTTTTTCAAACCCATCATGTGAGACCCTAGAACCCCTATGCGGAGCTGCAGTTGGTATTGTAGAAAGGAGTTGGTATTGAAAGTTGAAGGGTCAATGCACCCGGTAATCTTTTGGCTCAAGAACTTGGGCATGCGCCCTGAAGAAAGAAGTGTGTGTTGGTTTGGTGTTGGTTGGTCCAGGGGATCAAGGGCTTCTGTTGGGGTTGACTGTTTTGTTCCCTGTCCCCCTTCGGTTGCCCCCCGTAGGTTATGAGCCCAAATTAGGCTTCCTGCGGAATTGGTAAAGATTTTTCGTTTGTTTAACGCCATGGACATGATGCGGCGTCGCTCTGAACCTGGACTGTCGCCCACGGCCAATGAAGCCGAAGTCAATCGTGGTGATGGGGGTGAAGAACGACAACAAATGGTGCAAGCACTGACAGATGGTAGGGAAGTTGCAATGATACAACAAACGTCTCAGGTGGAAAATGAAGCGGTTCCGTTTCCAGCAGCGAATCCTTTCTGGAGCGAGCGGGCTCATGAAGAAATGAGACTGAGGCAATCAAGGCCAGCAAGTCTTCCTGCGAGCGGAGGGGATAGAAGTGGTGAAGAAACAAGAAGGCCACCGTCGTTGCCAGAACTTCGGGATCGGGAACCTGCACCAGCTGAGAGGCCATCGTCAGGTTTAATGGGCCAGATGGAAAGAGGTAATATTGGTGAGACACAAGGCGAGGAAGAGCTTATTCCTGATCTGAGTGGTGAAGAACAAGGTGAAGATATGGCAGTGGTTAAGCGTGCACTTAAAGAGTTGCTTGTGCAAACAAAGGAGCTGGGAAACAGGTTGCATCGGGTGGAGGAGAAAAGCTATACCTCTGCTGCATCTGGGTCAGCTTCGAGAGCACGGAGCACTGGAGTGGTGGACGCAAATGCTGCATATCCTTTGGGAATGACTCCAGAGAAACAGTACCCGCCAGGACAAGTTTTCTACACTGATGGTATGGGTGGTTTCTGGACTGTGTTGCCTGATGGGACATGGCTGCCGATTGAGGGCTACGACCTGCCAAAGGGTTGTGACCTTCAACCCTTGCCTGAGCCCAGGAAAGGGGATGTTCATGTGGAGGATGAGAAAGAAGTGCCAATGATGCACGTAGCTGAAGGGAAGAAACCCTCCAGATTGCCTCCATTGAATTACCCCATGGGAGGTTCTGCAAGTGGTGGATATGCAAGTGGACCACCTGGTTTAACACATGTTCCGATTACTTCCTTGCCGTCAGGCGTTGATGGTTCTGCCGCACTGATGGGAAATCAGCCCGGTTTTGTTTCAGCTCGGGAAACTTCGACGCAAGAGAACTCAGCAGGATCGGGTGGATATACAATGGTGGATGATGTTCCATATCGGTGGAAAATGATCGCTGGGAAGTTGGAATTAGAAAAGGTTCCGCTCACAGCTTTTACGCCCGGAATGGGACATGGACTGCCTCAAGGGCCTGGTGGAAGGGTCAGCTTACCTCCTGGAGCGGCGGTGCCACGTGGTATGCCAAACATTGGTGATAGGTCTGGAACTGAACGTCCGGAGGCTCTTGGGAAGCATGTGATGAGCCTTCCTACTTTGGCAGACTACACACCAAGCAACCCGACGGCACTAGGAGATTGGATCGCAATGATCGAGCCAATGCTGTCTTCGCTGACAGATACAGGAAGAGTGTGGTGGCAATCCGTCTATACAAAGGCGTATCAGGCGTATGCCAAATGGTTGAGTGTCTCTCCGCTGGATAGGTTGGGCATCAAGGCTGAGCTGGAAGGGCTCAAGGTGGTTCGAACTGCGCATGTTTTGTTGGAGCAGAGAGCGGTGTCTTTGCTGCTACAGGCGATTCCGGAGAGATTGAAGACCGAGATCGTTTCCACTCGAATGTTGGGGTCGGTGATGATATTTTACAAGTTGCTGACAGTCTACCAACCAGGTGGAGCAAACGAGCGCAGCACAATGTTAAACTTCTTGGTGCAACCATCTTCAGCAACCTCGATCTCAGAGGCTATTAAGGGAGTGCGACAATGGGCGCAATGGCGTTCCCGATTAAGGGAGCTGCGAGCATCCGAGCCGGACGCTACCTTGCTTATCAAGGGATTAGATGCTTTATCATCCGCATTGCTGGCAAAACACCCTACGGTTCATTTCAGAGTGGCATCCTTTCGGGAGAAATTGGGGGTGGACTACTCACCGACCTCTGAAACTGCGACACAACTAGCTGAAATGTTACAGGCAGAGTTTGAACTGCTATTGCATAGTGCTGGTGATCAAGAGGTGAAGCAGGACTCGGACGCCAAGAAAAGGGCAAGGTTAAACAAAGCCCAAAAGGGAACTGGTGACGAGACGGAGGAGGGTGACAAAGGCAAAGGGAAAGGAAAAAGGTACAGCGGTGATGGTGAACGTCCTTTCTGTTGGATGTATGGGAAGACTGATGCAGGCTGCAAGTTCGGATCCCGTTGCAAATTTCGCCATGATAAAGACTCCCTGGAGCGAGGAAGATGTTTTGAGTGTGGGGCCGTTGGCCATCTACAGCCGCAGTGTCCATATAAGGATGGTGCAAGTTCCAATGTGGACTCAAACCCTGAGAGGAATAGATCAAAAGGGAATTCTCCCAAGGGGGGAAAGGGCGGCAAAGGTGCGAAATGGGGAAATGCCAAAAAGGCAGAGGTGGCTGAAGGGGGAGATGAGACGGCTAACGCGGGATTGGATAAAGGTTCTGCAAGTCCCTCATCACCATCAACACCCAATCAGGTCCTTGCTGAAGCGTTAGAAGTGCTGAAATCTATGAAGCTGTCATCAGCGCAGTCAGCATCAAGCGGGGATCCCAGTGTTCGAATGTTATGTGGCTCTGGATTGTTTCAGCAGGAAGGGAGAGTGGCGTTGGTGGATACAGCTGCTACGCATCTTGCGCGGACGCTTTTTCCATGGGAATGTTTACCCGACACTACTGTTATGGTGCAAAGCGCGCTTAGTGGTGTGACAATGAGGATTACAGAGAAAGGGACGTTGATTAGGGAAGACAATGGGCCCCTGATTATCCCTCTCTGGTTGATTTTGGAGTTTGGGGCGAACCTCACCGTGATCAATGGGATGTGTCACGTGAGTGCAAAATCTTCGCTGGACCAGCTCTTGTGGTTTGAACATGGCTGTTTGGTTATGGATTACAAAACAGCTGAAAAAATGGTTTTGCATGCTGAAAGGCAGCGTGCGTCTTGGTCCCATTCTCAATGGAGGAATGGAAGGGCGGACTGTGGAGTCGGTTCGTCTGATGCCACGTTGTTGCCGAAGCAGGGAGAAGGCCGAGGAGTATGCGTTCTACATGTGGCCAGGGTTTCTGACACCAATGAGTGTTCGGGAATGGGCATGTTGGACTCGGGAGCATCACATCCTCTCAGATCACTTCGTCCTGGTGAACAGCTTCCGCAGCAAAAGGTGTTGGTGTCTTTAGCTGTTGGATCTCGGGAGATGTGTATTACCCCAGGTGGGACCCTGGTAACTCCTGAAATGGTAGATCCACTAGTGCCAATTGGCAAAGCGAGCGCCTTGGTTGGTCTCAGAGTTCAGTGGCGTGGTGGCAAGTGCACAGCCTCACATCCTGTTCTGGGGGAACTTCGCGTTCGTGATCTGAATGGGTGCCCTTGTTTGGAAAAGGAGGTGGCGCTTCAGATCATTGATGAAATGGATTGGTGTTCACCAAAGCAAGCATTGAAGGTGGCACGTATGGTTCAAGGGTGTCCGAATACGGACAACGAGGTGGCTGTAAAAGCGTCGTTGCAAAGCGCAGCGCGGACAGCGTCAGCGAATGAGGAGGAGTTCGTCCAGGCATGCTGGCGATTTCTTCGGTGGTATTATGGGGATATACCAGAAAATATGCTGATGGAGCTGTTGCCACGTGGAGATATTGCGGCGTTGCCTTTCAACCGTCATAAAAGGAGACGGCTGGCACGAGCAAAAAAGGTGGTGGTACACCTATTTTCGGGAAAACAAAAATGGCATTTTCCCAGTCGGGATGTGGAGGTACTGGAGCTGGATTTGAAGAAAGGCGGTGACCTACATAATTCGAGCGTCTGGAAGCATCTTCTGCATCTGGCGGCTGAAGGAAAGGTGGTTGCTGTGGTTGGAGGACCTCCATGCAGGACAGTGTCAAGGTTGAGAGGTGAAGACGGTGGTCCACCTGTATTACGCCGGCGCTGTGGGC